TTAAATGAATATAGTTTGTTCAAACACAAAAACAATATAAATCCAGTTAATAATCAAACTATCCTCAAATCTGTGTGGACGATGACACTTTTTATCTGCTCCATGTGCCCGGTTCACTTGCTGTTCCAGCAACTTCCACTCCATCATCAGCTTTAGTAAAATAACCTGATAGCTGGGGAATTTACTAAGTCACGTTTTTTATGTTGTTTGTTTTTGAAGTTTTTCGTTTTTTGAGCCCCTCTATCTTTTAGAATTGCTGACATTTTTACTTATTGAGTGTTGTTCTTTGCGCGACCATTTCCAGATTACTCCAGAACAAAGTGAAGAGAGGTGAATGCAGACATACTGGGCAGCAATCACCTGATAGATACGTGCGCATATCGTTCAAAAGTCAAATATAGAATAAATGCATTTGATTGGTAAACCAAATTCAGACTTTACGTTTCAATTTCAAATGGTAATGCATGGAATTTACGGAAAAGCTCAACTAAATAACAGCGCTAATAAATGGGGGGCGTGGTGGCTTTGGCGATCGGCGCTCCAGTCAATCTACTCCACAGCCAATCACGGGCCCCCTCCTTGCTCGGGCCTTGGGGCTTCAGCCCCGCCTAGCCCTATGGTTAAAACGGCCCTGTGTGTCGTGGGCTTCAGTGACGAACCCCCTTTGAATCTGCACCAGCTGTCTGCTGTTGCTTCGCAGACGGGAAGATTATTTATTTATTTTTAATTTAAAAAATAATTTTATTTAAAAACATGGAGACAGGAAGATGGAGGCCCAAGCCTGTAGAAATTTTAAATAAAAAAAAAAAATAAATAAAAAAATAAACCAAAACAAGCCTTTAAAAACTGAGATGTGTATAAACCATTCGTTCTAAACGGCCGATGTGTTCGCAGACGGGAAGATTATTTATTTATTTTTAATTTAAAAAATAATTTTATTTAAAAACATGGAGACAGGAAGATGGAGGCCCAAGCCTGTAGAAATTTTTAATAAAAAAAAAAAATAAATAAAGAAATAAAAATAAAGAAATATGAAAATGTACAAAAAATAAATGAATAAAAAATTAAGTTAAAGAATAAAAATAATTGGTCATGGGAAGATGGAGCACTGCATTTATGGGAGCCCAAACCTACAGAAATTAAAAATAAATTATTATAAATAATAATAATAAATAAATATCAAAAATAAATACATAAGAACAATTCAAAAACAAATAAATAAATGAAAGGATAAAAAATAACGTTGAAATGTATAAATAATTGGGTGATGTGTTTTCAGATGGAAAGATGGAGCCCTGCATATATGGAGGACCAAACCTGCAGAAATTAAAAAAAAATATATATATATATATGTATAAATATAAATAATAATAAATTAACATCTAAATTAATTAATAAATACAAATGAAAGAAAAAAAATAAAGTTAAAAATATATAAAATAAAGGGAAAAAATGTATACAAAAAAACAGGACTAAATTTAATATATAAATAATTGTATTTGTTTTATTAAGCTATTTATTTGTTTCTGTTATTTATTTATTTATTTATGCAGGTTTTGGCCTCCATATGCATATATGGCAATGCATCAAGAAGTGTGCAAATAGGCCATGCACGATGCAGCACGTTCTTGCCATGGTGCTCGCTCATATGCATACCTGAATGTGGGCCATAATTGCATTGTTAGAGTGAATCCTAACAGCCTTGGTTGTTTTTAACTAGGTCAACCCAGATAAAGACGTACTCCTGGGACAACGCCCAGGTCATCCTGGCGGGAAATAAGTGTGACATGGAGGAGGAGAGAGTCGTGTCTACAGATAGCGGCAGACTGCTGGCAGAGCAGTTGGGTAAGTTCACTCTTCCTGACTTCATCCCAAAAACTGAGTTTGATTCCTCCTAGGACCAGTTAGAATCTTCTGGACCTGTGGAGCCAGTCAGGTGGGTCAGCATGATTTATTTCTTAAAGCAGCACTATGTAACTTTTTCTGTGTTCAAAATTTGCAAAATGTATATAATGAGCGAGTACATCATGAATTCATCTTCCAAACCGCGTTTTTGTCTTATTCCGAATCACTACGGTACACTTATAATAAGTACTTATATTTGGACTATTGTAGCCTGGTCGGGTCGTCACCGCTGCGGAGTAACACATACCTGCGTAAATCGCCATAGACATAAACTTAGAGAAGTAGCTCCGGTTGGAATGTTCTTCCGCGGGATGTGTGCAGTTCTGTTTATTAACCGCTAGAGCGCCAAAAGTTACATAGTGCTGCTTTAACTGGTTTTGTCTCAAGACCCAGATTTCTCATTGGACGTTAAATAGAGAGCCAACAGTCTGTCATGTTTTCTATTAGTTTAAATAGATTTATTTGTTTTGCATGTCATGCTACAAGATGGCTACAGAAAATTTGCATCAAAATATAGATTTTCATTGGTTGCATAACCATTGACATCAACAACAAAGGATGGGAAGCGTGTTTTATTGTGCTGTGCACAATTATATGATGATTGCATATTATTTGACTTTAAATAAATCTCACCATCCATGTGTCAGACTCTGTTCCGTGTTTTGTGGTTGTTTTCCTCATGTGCCTTCCTTTCCCATGTTTAATTTGTCCCGGAGCGGACCAAAACCGAAAGTAAGCAGCGCCCCTTCTCCTCGTTTTTCTTTTTCCCATTTTTTGAAAGTTTTTTGTTTCCTGGCTTATCCCCCCCCCGCGGCGATGGAAATTGCCGCTCGCGTCGCCGCCCTAGCTCGCCTCGCTCTCCCCTTATACGAGTACG